CAGAGCTCGCTGCTGCAGGTGGCCGGGGTGAAGCGACCGTTTTCATGCTGGCAGGACACAAGAATAGCTGGGGAGGGGGAGCAGGACGAAATGAAGTTGTAAAATGTTTCTCAGTTTGTGTTCCTCATAGCCCAGCTGGCCGCTGTTCACCATCTCCTTGGGGGTGTTCACCAAGACGACTTCCAGCCCTGCGTGGGCCATCGGTGGTGGACAGTGACCCTCTCGCTCTGGCCTACATGACCAAAATCCTTATAGCCCCCCCCACCTCCCTCCCCGGGTGGGGGTGCTACGGGGCCCACGCGCCTCACAAGAGCATCGGGGAGGAGGGAGCCTTCGGTCCCAATTGCTTCGTGCCAGATTGCTGCGGCTCCTGGGGGGGCGACGTGGCGTCTTCTGCGTGGCTTGTTCCTTGTTGCCGTTGGATTTGGGATTTGCGGGTTTTCGGCTTGCTTGGGGGACGTGCTCCCCATCCGCGTGGACAGCAGGAGAGAAGCCCTTGCCTCAGGGAGCTGCCTCCAGCCTGCGGTTGGGCGCAATCCCCTTGGCTTTCCGCTGCTCCACTGAGGCTGCTTAATTTATTAATCGCTGGGAAACGAGGAGGGAGGAAGACTTTGCAGTTCCTTGGCCTGGATGCCGGTCGCTTCTCCGTCCGAATGAGTGCCTTCACCCTTCTTCCCCTTCCCTAGCTCCATGGGCAATGGGAGACTCTCACCTGGAAGCTGGTTGGTTTTTTAGGTAGCTTAGACATCAGCCTAGGTTTTAAGAAATACATTTGAATGTGCTGCTATAGTCTGAAACGCATTTTTGCTCCTCCAAGGCAGGGATCTCGGAGCGCGTTCAGGACGGGGCTGTGTTGCATATATGGGTCCGACTTGTCTCCTTATAGGGTGGAAAACTTGCTGCGCACTTGAGTTGAAAAGCAATTGCATTTTTGTATTGTTGTTGATTCTTTTAGTTTTTATAAAAAGTGTTTTTAAAAAAAAAATAATGCTGCTTTTTAAAGAGAAAAACCATCAAATAGTAGAATTGTATTAACCAGAAGCCACAGCGATTCTGCAGGGAGGGGAGGCAGACTGCTGCTGCTTGGTCACCTCTGGACACGTGGATTGGTGGCGGCTGTTCTCCTGTGAGGGACGTGGAAAAGGAGGTAGAAATCGTCTTATTTTGGATGCTACTAGAAACAAAAGTCTTACCGGGTGGAAAAAGATGGGGCTGCTGTTCCTTCACTAGCCTGATCTGTCAAGAAGAGCTATCTGCCACTGACTCCTGCTAGCAGGGGGGGCTGGGGGTGCACAGGGCCTGTCTGTACAAAATTTTTTTTTATATATAAATGAGTTTTAATTTAAGAGTAAACTGGTTTGATGTTCACAGGCAAGAGTCCCACTGCTGGGAGAATCAGGATCGTATAATGTTGCAATAAAGTATTTTAAACAAGTCTGAAGGCCTCCAGGGTTCCCCTTTGCAGTCCGCCCTGCGCTGTCCTTCCCTCACAGAGCTCCTGCCTCTGCCCCAAATCCCTCTGGGGTGGGACCCCAGCAGCTGGGGGATCCCCTCGGGCTGCTCTGGAGGCTC